GCCATTTACAAAAAAAAAAAAAAAAAATGATTTGGAAGGCAAAGTGCCAGAGCAACATACACGTTGGCTCTCCATCTGCTTGTTTATTCCCTGATGCCTGTAGCAATCAGGGCTGGGCTCGGCTGAGGCCAGGAACCACGCGGGTCTCCCATGGGGGCGGCAGGATCCCAGTGGATATTGCCTGCTGAGCCTCGGGCATGCCAGAAGTACAGGATGGCTGGGCCTCCAGCCGGACCCTGGAATAGAAGAGGCAAGGGGCCCCAGTGCTGGATTAACCCAGCCCACAGTGCTCACCCCTCACCGCCCTCTTTAACATGGCTATGTAAATGCTATTGTTACGTTGATGATTTGATTTTCTGCCCCCCTCAGTAGCATCAGTTGGGTCTTGTTTTTGCCTATCCGTCAGCCGTGGCTTACAGAAGGGGTCTTTTTGGGGGAATAATTCCCACCCACAAAGATTTGAGTTCCCTAAAGAAACTTTGAAAAATGCCTCCTTGCCAACATGACAAATGGAAAATGATGGTCTTTAAATAGCACAAAATGGAAAAAAAAAGGGCTACTTTTCTAAAAAAGTGCTCCCTAAATGAAAAAATGTGTCCATCAAGTGTGGAAGTGTCCTATGCTTCAGTCCTGAATTGGGTTACAGAAATATTTTGTAGGGGGGAGGGTGTGGGGAGGGTGAGAATAAGGGGAAAATCAGAAAGGGGAGGAAAGAACAGGTGAGTCCTCGTGCTGTTTCATGCTGTTTCAAGCGTGGGTCAATGAAACAGTTTATTTAAGACAGTTCTGTGGAGTCTTAGAGGTGACCAGGAGCTTCTTACATCTTAATGTAACATGTTAGTGTCCCCGAGAGATTGCCAGTACTAAGCATCAGATCTGGACCCCATTCTAAGGTATGTTTTTGCCTTCAGAAAGAAATCAGAAATTGGGGCGATTAGACAAGACTAGCCCGACATGCACAAACCCTTTGACCTATTGGAGTCAACACAGGTGGTCTTGAAATCTTCATTTTACTTACATGCAAGGTGGTCAGATTAATACATATGCCCCATACATTTTATACAATGTGTTTATACACACTCTATTACTTGATATTTATACCAAATCATGTATTAGTTACTTGAAATTCTGACGTTACAGGGATGTCTGGTAAGGTATCTGCCAACGCTACTTGTGTGTGTAGGGTTCAGCAAAAAGCAGGTTTTAAAATAGAAGTTTAGGTTAGCAGTTTGTGGGTAGTTATCGAGAGCGATCTGTTACAAAATGTTACTATGCCACCCTCTGCTGGGGAGACAGGATAGACTGCATGGGATGCTGAAAGACACAAGGAAGCTGGAACCGGGGTGCCCAGAAGGAAAGGGGTTCTTGCGGAGACAAGAAGGAACTTCAGACCCTGCGATGGCCTTCGCTGACGGAGTCAGAGCTGCGGTCCTTGGAACCGGGCGCTGCTGAAGCCGGCTTGTCTGCGAGACCTTCAGCTCCTCCGGGGAGCAGGGTGAGCTCCGCGCTCCCCCTGGTGGCCCCTTTGAGTATCACTGCCTCAGACGCCACTCGTTTGTCCCGGAAATTTCTCCCACTTTCCCCTCCCAAGACACTGCCTTCACTTTTCCTGCCTTTTCCTCCTCCTTCCCCTGTCAGCTTATTCATTCGAAGCCTGCCCTCTGAGTGACACCTAGCGACTGCTCTGGCCCAGGCCGAGGCCACACAGAGTTGTGCATTGTTGCCCCAGTTTTGAGACCACCCAGGCTGGTGCCCGAGCAGAATGAATGACAGCTGCTGGGGTCAAGTGCCCAGCGGGATTCTGCCGGAACGGGGGAGTGCGCTGCGGCCCTGGTGGCGTGGTCCCCACAAAGGACACCCGCCCCCGGCGGGAACCGAGTCATTCCTCCAGCCCCACGCAATTAACAGTGCCGCGGGCTTCGGGTTCTTTTTCTCCACCGGGTGCATAATAAGAAAAGCCGCAGGAAGGATTTTACTGGCCAGGAGAAACCTTTCCTCTTGGGCGAAAGGCGTCCTGCTTTAAGTGACTGGGAGTGGTGACAGGATGGGGTTTGGAAGGGAAGCGCCTTAGCCCCCCAGTGTAGGCTCAAAGTGTAAGTCACAGCCATCTATTTTAGCGATGTGCTTGAACTGCACCCTGGTTGCTTTTGGGAACCAGGTCTGGATCCACTGCTCCGCCCTCGCATTCACACTGTGTCTGAGCTGCCACGTCCCTCATCCCAAAGGGCTTCCCCCCTGTCTCCCACAGGTGACAGAGCAGAGCACGCTGCACCCCAGACGACCCTACCCAGGACGGAGGTGCTTCCGTGAATGGCTCGCTGCTGGTCACCCTGCTGGTCAGCCCCCTCCTTTGCCCAGCTGGACCATGCAAGTACCGGATGTGTAACATGTTAGGTGGATTTGTATCTTTTTTTGGTCTGAGACCATTTTAGAGAAACTGGTGGAAAGCAAGGGTTTGTAGCTTCCAGAAAAAGCCAGTGCAGTTGCTCTTAACTTTCAGGTGTGTGGGCCTGTGGACAAGAGACCCTGCTCGCAAGTGGCTCCTCTTCCCCCCACCCTGAGAAGGTTGGATGGAGGGGTCCCTCACGCAGCTTCAGTCCGCTGTGTCTTGACATGGCCTACCCTCCCTTGATTGAGAAGGAGCCCTTGGCCATTCGTGGCCAATAGAGCAGTTCACAGGCATCATGGCTGTTTCTGGAATAGTCCTGCAGATCTTATCCAGCTCTTTCCACAAGTGGCAGCGAGTAATCACTGAGGTAAATCTACCTCATTTGAAGGTCAGGCAGGAAATTAGTTTTTGGGGAAGAATTGGTGGCAGTATTACAGCCCTCTAATTCCAATGTGGAAATGGTTCAGTTTGAGAACCTGGAATCTGACATGGCTGAGTAGGTGCAGACAGTTCACGCCCCCTCCTGGGGCCAACCACAGCCAGCTCCAGGGCTTGGGCAGGGAGAGGCAGCTAGGGCGCATTTTCCCTGGGGCTGGCTCCCCCAGCTGGTACTTGCAGGATGTGACCGGCGGTGAGGCGTCCTAGCCCAGCCCTCCTGAGCTCGTGGCAACACTTGCATGTGTGGACAGTTCTTTTCTTTCAGGAAGAATAAACAACAGCAAAGTTGTGGATGTAAAACTTTTTTTTTCTTTTTAATTGGAAATATTTCTACAAAGTAACGTTTCCCAGGCTGCACGGAGTGCCTGTGCTGGGCTGGCGAGTTACCCTAGAGGACCTGCTTTCCAGAACAAATGGTTAGTACAGAACACAAAGATGACAGGATGTCACAGAATTGATTTGACATGATTAATTTTTGCCCTACTAGCATCATGACAACCATGCACATTAAGTTTTGTAGTGTTTCCCAAATAGAACCTGGGTATTACATGGTTGCTGTCGAGGCCTAATGTTAGCTTTTATAGGCACATAATGCTCAGGATCTATATAAAAAAAATCTAATTGTGTATCAGAGGCTGTATGTCTAGATTTTCTGCGGGTTAGCGTAATGAAGTCCATTTGTCACCATTTTTAGGCAAACTCCAAGGCAGCCGGGATTGTCTGACCACTCCCACCGAGCGTTTGGACTGGATATTCTTGAGGGCAATGAAATCTCCTAGAAATCCCGTAGCTGCCTCACCTGAAACTGCCGTTTTGTCTTGCAACCTCGCTGACATTGTCACAGTACTGACTCATCTTCTACCATTTCTCTGAGGGACACAGACAAAACAGAAGCAGGTGCCACTCCAGCTGCAAGTTCTGAGTGATCGGGTAAGTGGAATTCGACACAAAGAAATATCATGTTTCTCTCCTTCCAAGCACTTTTGATTAAAGTCATTTCCAGATAAGAGACCACCCATCCAGTGCATGGATCTTAATTAGGGAGCGCATTCATTTGGCTTCTATAAAGTGTAGCAGTGAGTTTATATTTTGGTACCTAGACTTCCTTGGGGGAGTGATTTTAAACTGGAGAGAAAAAATGCTTCAGATTAAAAAACAAAAACAAAAAAAAAGAAACGGTTGTTTAAATTCTTCCTAAGACCTCTCCTCTCAGTATTTTCATGACCATTAGCTCCATTCTTTCTGGCTCTTCTGCGTCCTGTAGTAAGAAAATGAGCTCCCTTGCTGGTGCCCCATTTTTCTCAAAGTCCTTCAGCAGTGGAGTGATAGGGGCCATTTGCCCCAGAGTCATCCCTTCAGACTGGGATGGCAGGAAAGAAGGGTTTATTTTTCTTACTGGGAAAGCCTGAGCGAAGGATTCCACGAATGACCCCCCACTCCTACCACCTGGTACCTTAGCTGACCATTTTAGACACGAGACCCAGGGAACCACTGGGCCATCCTGCCCCTACTGGGACATGTTGATTAAGTGCCCTTTTGGAAAGCTCCATGCTCCAATGGAGTGGTATTGTTCGGAAGTATACCTGATGCAGGGAAACCAGAGGGCGGGCTCTCTGATGTCACAGAATGGTTGGCAGGTATGATGTTGGGTATCTGGGACTCAGGGACAGAGGATACCGTGACCGCAAGGCCATTCAGAAACTTCATTTTTGCCCCTCTCCACAGCTTGCTAGATGTCTGTGTTTACTGTCCCACTATTAATAATGGTACAATCAGAAGAAAAAGGTAAAAGAAAAACCCTTCTACTGTCCAACTGGTCATTGATTGTAGTTCAGCAAGTCAATCTTTGAGACTAAAAATCCAGTTGGGTTATGAGGGACTTTGAAGTGTTTTTAACCAGACTATGTTTTTAAAACTTAATGAAAAACCAATTTATGGGGTCATATATCAGATAAATTAATCAGATCTCATCAAGATTATTTTTGGTACACCTTGTTAGGTAAGACAGGACAATGATCTAGAAGTTTCAAATGTGGATGAAAATTGTGTATTTTGGGTCACTGCCAAATCCTCCCTTGTGCTTGGATTAACACCTTGTAATCCTGCTGGAGTAGGGAGGACAGGGAGGGAAGGGGCCTGCTGGAGAGGAGGAGCTGTCGGGGATGGACTCATTGTGACTTGCTTTACGCTGGTCTACATCTTGGTCTCACTGTCAGTGGCTTTCTCAGCTTCGCTGTCCTGGGCGATCAGCTGGTAGGGCTTCTTCATTTCATTCTCTTCAATCACCGAGTTGCCCATTTCAACGTCCCGGTTCTTCAGTTCATGTCGTGACAAGTGCTCGACAATCCCAGCTCCCAGAGAGTCCCCCAGGACGTTGGTGGTGGTGCGGAGGCGATCCCTACGGGCAGGGCGCGGAGGGAAGGGAACACGAGGCTCCTTAACAATTTCATTTCTATTGGAAACTGACCAGAGAAGTCTCCAGAAGCAGCCCTTCCGACTCAGTTTGGTGTCTCTCCCAAATGCATGGATATATAACCGACAGGCAGCATTTCTGACAGTAGCTGCTAAAAGTTATAAGAATATAGAGCTGATTTGTTTTTAATCAGTAATGTCATTGTAGTTAGCTAGAGTCCTAACTCGGGGGTGGGGATTAAAGTTTGCCTTAGTTTTGGACTGGCTTGCATTTAGACCAGTGGTTCTCAGTGTGACCCAGACAGCCATTCTCTCTCTCTCTCGTGAGGTAGGATCCTGCAAAGACTATATGATGTGTTCTATCACAATACACTGAACGCGGACTTCCAGGGCTCCGGCTGACTGGTATTAAGCGGGATAATGTTGGTATATAATTTATTATCACCCTTAAAATAGAAATTTTAAAAATTCCTTTCTATAATTTGACAAATATTTTAAAATGTCTATAGTCATTTTATTTGAAAGACGAGCTTTTATCTAACTCATTTACTCTCCAGCTGCCTGCAATAGCTAGGCTGCCCCAGGCTGGAGCCCAGAGCCTAGAACTACAGCTGGGTCGTCTCTCAGGTGAGTGGGGGTGAACGAAGCACTTGAACACATTGTTGGGAAGTTGGATGGGAAGTGGAGCAGCTAGGACTTGAACTGGGCATTATGAAATAGATTATAGGCATCATAAGTGGCTATTTAACCATGTGACAAAATTGATTGTTGTAACCCAAAGAAAAAAATGCTTTCTTGGTCCTTCAATACATTTTTAAATGGACAGCTCAAAAACTTTGAGAACCATGGCTTTGCACCATAAAAGTGAGTCTGCGTGCTGGGAGTGCTGACTGTGGCCGACAGTGCTGTGTAGCGCCCTTGGACACAGCCTTCATGGCACCCCCAGCAAGTAGCAGGCACGAGCATTGCCATGTGAAAGAGGTGGAAGGTACAGTGGTAGGGTAATTTGCCCAATATCACTCTTCATGTTCATTGGTTGGCATCAGGTCAATATAAAACGCCTCCAACATCTACTGTCTCCTATTAGGCATTTGTTTTAGGTATCCTGGGGAAGATTTTTCTAAAATGGGAGGAAACTTGACAGAGCCCAGGGGCAGAGATGGTTACCTGGAAGGGCAAAGGAGAAGGGGGCAGGGATGGGGGCTGAAGCTTAGGATCCAAGAGTGGAGAGGGCACGTTCGTGCAGGTTTCCCTGGAGCCAAAGGTCTGTTCCACTGAAGGACATGAGATCTCTTGCTCCTGTCTGCACGGCCACTCCTTGCTCTGTCGGACTTGGATGGGACAATCTGGGCTGCATTCCATACCCTTGGAATGGGAAGCACAAAGAGGAAGGGCCCGAGCCAGCATGCAGCTCTGTTCCAGCCACCATGGGCCACATTGTGCAATGTGGACACAGCCTTGCTGATGTACGCTGGCTTCACAGACTCTGGGTTTCCCAATCCCTGAATGCCTTGCTGGAGTGAGAAGGATAGCTGCCAGATGTGCCCTCTTGACTGATAAGGGAGCAAGAACACATGCTGTCTGGGGCTTGTTTCAAGGCCGTAAAGACCCTCTAATTGCAGGTCTGGCTGCCCCTCGTGGAGGACCCCTTGACAGCAGGCTGCCCTAGCGCAGCAGAGAAGGGGGACCCTCCAGTGTGAAGTGCACCCAGTCTGAGTACTCACAGGAACCAGTCCACTGCGATGATGAGTGTGATGTCATCAGTGGGCAGGCCTACAGATGTCAGCACGATGACCATGGTGACAAGACCAGCCTGAGGAATCCCAGCTGCTCCAATACTCGCGGCTGTGGCTGTGATGCTGTTGAAAGAAATATGGAAATAGGAAACAAACGTTTTTTACAAATCTCCCAAGTAGAAAGTGTGCCCTGAAAAACACACAGGGGGCCCAGCGTAATAGCATAGAGGTTAAAGCCCTAGCCTTGAACACGCCAAGATCCCATATGGGCGCTGGTTCCAATGCCAGTGGCCCTGCTTCCCCTCCAGCTCCGTGCTTGTGGCCTAGGAGGGCAGCCGAGGACAGCCCAGAGCCTTGGAACCCTACACCCATGTGGGAGACCCAGAAGAAGCTTCTGGCTCCTGGCTTCAGATTGGCTCAGCTCCAGCCGTTGCAGCTGCTTGGGGAGTGAACCATCAGACAGAGGATCTTCTTGTCTCTCCTCCTCTCTGTATATCCGCCTTTCCAACACTCAGGGCTAAGGCCTGGCTTGCTGTGCTGGTAGGAGAGGACGTGATTCATACATGTGTAGCTGAGGTTTAAAACAGTGAGCCAGGGATCAGACTGTTCTCTGTCATGTGCTAATCATATGTCAAGGAAGATGACGTATGACCTTGAGTTGGGTCTATCGTGACTTTAAAATGAAGCAAGCGGAGGCTGTCTGCTTTTGCACATCCCTGTGCATTTTGTACAGTATAAAATGCCACAGAGTTAATTAGACTTGGCTCTAGTCATCTCCCTATTACATGGAGGGTTGTAAAGAACTTGAACTTGCAGGTAAAGCTGTCCTCTTAGAGAGCCATCCTGGCCCGGTGACACAGAGGGGAGAAAGAAGCAGAAATGCCCAAAATGCCCCATTTGGGGTCTAGAAGAGGGCATTTGTTGTAATCTTATTTTAACTTGTCTCTGTGCAGGATAATTTCAAATATAAAAATTTGTGGGGGACCCCCCCCCAACCCTGCAAAGTGACTTAACATTGTATTTTGCAGATCAAATTAATAAACAGCTCACAGCAATGTAGGAAAAAATGCTGATCTGGATTATGAGGCCTAAAGTCTTCTGTGGTGTTAGACATGGTGCGTGGTATTGGCCAAGGAGCCGGAGTGGGGAGTACGCTTGAATGTGCCCATGGTGCCCAGAGACAGCCTGCGAGGATGCCAGAGAAACTGGCAGAGAAGCTGCCTCTCCCAGAGGAAGCTTCGGGACTGGGGGAGGCAGGTAAAGGGCAGGTACTTTTCACTAAGCACCTGAAATGTAGCAGTTAAAAAAAAAAAATCTCTGTAAAAATCTAGTTCTCAACCTGCTTGTCAGTATGGTCTGTCATCTAGCTCACACTTCCTAAAAGTCAGCCCCCGTGCCCCCAAAAAAGCTCATCTACTTTTTAAACTACATTTTCACTTTCTAAAAACCTTACCTATATAAGGTAGCATTTTTTAATGCTTCTTAAAGTACAATGTATATACTAAGTATTTTGTAAACCCTGAAGTGTATCTTAAATGTGTCGATACACAAATTAAGAGGCAAATTAGGGATGGTGGGATTCCATTCAGTGTAAACAGAATGTATGTGTGTGTATCTAACTCACAGGTCTTTCTAACCCAACACGCAGCACGCTCACCTAGAGAAAGAGCAAGGCAGATACAGAGGCAGCTAAGTCTCCATTTTTACCCGCTGTGCTGCTGTATTATTTGAATGTTGGATGTTCACATCTGTCATCTCAAAAATACTTGCTGCAAACCTCAGCCTTTTGTTTGCACAGAACTTTCCTCGTACCTGATGGTAATAATCTGGCCGAAGTTCAGTTCGAAGTTGTTGACTTGAGCGATGAAGATGGCGGCCAAGGCCTCGTACAGGGCCGTCCCGTCCATGTTGATGGTGGCCCCCACAGGGAGCACGAACCTGGTGACACGCTTGTCCACGCCGTTGTTCTCCTCCAGGCACTTGAAGGTGATGGGGAGGGTGGCAGAACTGAGGACAGTGAGAGAGCGCGTGTCAGCTAAGGGGCTGCTTTCGACCCTGTCTGGTCTCTTGGACAGACAGTTCCCTTTAGGACATGGGACAGGAAGGAACTAAGTCAGCACTGTGTAAAAGGGGAGAGGGGTTGGCAAGCGTGGGGCCTTTCCTGGGGTCACTGGGCAGCTCTCCCTGTGCCTGGCTTCCTCTTGTGACTGCTTACCCATCACAGCAACCTCACTCAGGCAAGGTCAGCTGGGAGCGGGGGAAAGACAATGGGCAGCAGAGATGGCTTCAATACTGTCCCCAAAAGGACGCCTAGCTGGCCATTCTGTGAAGCCCACTTAGATCAGCTTAGCTTCAGAAGGGAAAGACCCAGTTGAGGGGCTGGCATTGTGGCACAGCTCGCTAAGCTGCTTGTTGTAGGGCTGGCATCCCAACTCATAGTGCTGGATTCAGGTCTGGTTCTTCGGCATCTAATCCAAGCTTCCTGCTAATGCAATTGGGAAAACATGTGGTGATGGCTCGAGTACTTGGACCACTGCCACCCACAGACGAGACCTGAACCCAGTTTCTGGCTCCTGTGGCCAACTGGGCAGTGAATTAGTGGGTCCAAGATGTTGTTTTCTGTGTCTCTCCTCCTCTGTCTTTCAAGTTAAGAACCTTAAAAAGTATTTCTGGAAGCTTCAAACCCTGAAGAAAAGATCTCCTCCTTTCAACCATAGGGGCCCTGAAGAAAAGATCTCTTCCTCCTTTCAACCATAGGGGCCCTGGTTCAAAGCAGTTTCCCAAACACATTGAGGAGTGGGCGACACGGTGCACCCACCTCGATGACGTCCCCAGAGCTGTGATGAGGGCTTGGAGCAATCCTCCAATGAAAACCCAAGGGTTCTTCCGTGTCACCAGGAAGTACAGGAGCGGCAGGACGATGACGGCGTGGATGAGCAAGCCAACGATGACCGTCACTGTGTACATGGCCAGCTGTCCCCCGATCACACCCATGTCTTCCATCTCAACAATCTTCCCTGCGATCAGGAAGAGGATGCCCAGAGGGGCGTACCTGTGGAGAACACACAGGTGACTCGAGTCTGATAAGCCATTTCCTGCCAAGTACAGACTGGTAAGAGAAGGAGAGGGAGGGGTTTCAAACACTTTTGCTTTAGTTCCTGTTCAAACTTGTAGAAACTGGGTCCTACATTATGTTGAAGGGCCCATGGTTATCACAGAGCTGGCTTTTGGCTTTTCCTCTCACTTGGGATTGCTCTGGGACAGACTATCCCCCGTCACCTAACCCTGTGGGGAAAAGGCAGGTCCAGAAGTTTTGTCGTGCACCTGTTTTGCTAGATGGACGTATTTTCCTCATACCTGGCTCACTTTTCTGATCCTCCGAGACACCTGCCCTGAACTGACACATACAGATCTTGTATGCCTGAGCTGGATTGCCAGTTACAGTGAGAGGCACAGGTTAGTTCTTCTACTCCATGGCCCCTTTTCCCAGAACTTCACAGCACAGATAATATTCTTAGTATTACTCTTCAAATCTCCTTTCTCTTGAGGTCAGCTATGAGGAAAACTTTTTTTTTCTTAGAGTGCAAATAGAAAACACTATTTATGGCAAATAGCAACGTTTGCCATAAATAGAAGGTGACGAAAATACATTCAGAACTATTAAAATGAATAATGTGCACATACGGATCAGCACAACCGGGGGTCCTAATGAAGGAGTGTTACCCCCAGCTTACTGCATTCGGGCCTATTTGCCTGCGGACTAAGTAACTCACAGGCACAGGAGAACCCTTGCTGCTTACAGGCCTTGCCACCCAGCTTCCATGTCCCTCGCCCTGTACCATTAACCACAACCAAGCTCATGTCACTGAAAATCAAGGAGCCAGTCGCCCTCGAGGAGACGAGTCTGTTGGCAACTGTGGAAAACTAATTTCAAATTGGAGAGAAAAAGAGGAAATCCAACAATGCTTCTTCAAAAGTACAGGCCAGGAACTCGCAGGGGTACCCGTTCCCAGATGTCATCACCCAGGCCTGGGTGCGGGGCTGAGTACTGCAAGACAAGCTACATGTGAGGTTTGTTCAGTGTTTGAATGGGCTTCTTTCACAGGAGCGCTGAAAGGTGCAGGCATTTTAATGATGTGAAGATGAATGTTCAGCCTGAGCCCCGCCAGGACTTCAGAGAGCCTTCCAGTTGGAAGCTGCTATGGAGACCCCATTGTGGTACATCACTGTGCCCTAGTTCATATCCATCTTGTACTAGCTGCTAAAAAATGGATTTCTCTGGTTCTGGTGGCATAAGGACAAAGGGCATTTTGGTTCGTGTTGATGAGTAAGCATTTTCCTTAGCCAGGGACGCCTTCCTGCCTCGGGCAGGGGAGAGCCTGCACTGAAGCACCGAGAAGATACTCAACCCGAGGCCTACGCCAAGTAAACAGTTCTCTCCCTGCTGGAAAGAGAGCTTCCATTCCAAGGTCAGTGTTCCCCTGGAGAATTGGCTTTTTACTTTGTTTCGTGCTATATGAAAGGAAGTTTTAGTAAACCATGCTTGGCATTTTCCAGGAGTCCTACAGGTATGGTAACAAAACTGCCCTGTGCATTTAAGGCTGACCCAGAGACATGACCTCTGTTCTTGCCAGTGGTCTAGGGACTTCTCTACATTTGCAGCCTTCGGCTGGGAATTCCCTCTACGTGCCTTTGTGCAGCTGGCTTCCGGTCTTTCCGGTATTAACAAAACATTGTCACTTCTCCAAGGCCTCCGTACCATCATGGCAGCACATTTCATGCCTTTTCTCCAGTCACTTGCTGTTATTTTTGTCCTAGCATTTGTGACTAAAGCATATGGTTGATGGATCTGTCATCTGTCTTAAAAGCATCTAAGATCTAGGATATCAATTTTTTTTCATTGCTGTATCCACAATGACCGGCATCATATGATTATCGTACAGTAGACTTTATCAATAGATGAAGTAATCACTAGATAGATCTGAAATGGAGGAATGAGGAGTGGAATTCCTTTTCCACTAGGATAAATGGACATCTTTCCAAGACAAGGCCATGGAACTTGTTAAGAGAGGCTTACAGACATACGTAAGGCCTTGGTAGGCTCAGAAATTGCAGAGAGAGAGAGAGATTGAAAGAGAGAGAGAGAGAGAGTGTGTGTGTGTGTGTGTGTGTGATGAGAATGAGATCACTGCAGCCATTCTACCTGTTGACAGCTCCCTCAACAGAGAACACCTGCTGACGGCTGTACGCATCCTGAGCAAATGGAAATACATACCACATAATCACGGCCACTAGTCTCATGATGGCTTCGTTGAGAGAATCAAAGAAGTCTCTCAGGGCCTGTCCCTGCTCCTTCATGTTTCCAATCACGAAACCAAAGCACATGGAGAAGACCACGAGTCCCAGAGCATTGACCCCATTCACAGATCCCGGAACTGGTACCAGCTCCTCGGTGATCCGTGTGAGGGTCTCCATGGCCTCGGACACGTTGTTAATCACAGCACCCACGAGCGTTTCATTGGCCTGGACGGGCACTCGAAAGCTTCTTTTCTCATAGGTGGTTTTAAACTTAAAGATAAAAGCACAACAGGGATTAAAGGTGATTTCCATTTGTTCTTTGTAATTCTCTGCTGTCCAATTTTCCTTAGTGATATATACTGCTTTGTGTCCTAAGAATAAAGTCATTTTCTCCCTTCCTTCCCTCTATCAGCTCACTCATTTATCCTGTGGCAACCCCCCACGACTTCCTCAAAACATAAATATATAACTCAAATAACTATAAATTGAATTTTTAAAAGCATAAATATTCTTTTTTGTGAGGATGATGCTATAGGAACACACACACACACACAAATCACCAAATATCCTCTCAAATCCCACAGCTATGAATAAAATAACTGTGCTAGTTCTACATTGCGCAATTGCTGAGTTGATCCAATCAAACGGGACATATAATACCTTAAAATTATAAAGTACTCATGTTTGTTAATGATTTCCACTGACCAAGTCCTCCAGGGATCAGGCTTAGTTGGAGATTTCAGTGGCTATGAAGTGTTCCAAAAGCAACACTCTTCAAGCCATTCCTAATATTATCAATGCTTAAGGATAGATGCTTAATAGGATGACAACTTACTTTCTCCAAGTCCACAGTGGCATTTCTCTTCTACCTCAGAGATGGTCTTTTCCCCATAGCTGCTGCATAGATGCCTCTGACGGGAGACACTGGGTGCATTACTGTGGTCATGGGACGCGAGGAAGCCCATCCCGCCAAGACTTTAATGAAAGGAGAATGCCTGGCATTGGTGGCATGGGTTATAACATCATGAGAGTGTAGAAATGAGGACTGGATCTAGGCTGGGGAAGCATCCACAGCCTAGCAGGAAGTGCTCGGCCCTCTCTTTACCAGGAATAAATAGAGGACTGTCTTGTCTCCAGGGAAACCACTCTTCCCAAAGATACGGCCAACTGTACATACGGTGGACACCCTTAAATGTCCAGTGGGACTGATGGGTAATTTCAAGCAATGACAATAGACTGGCTTGTCTGTCTCGTATTTGTCAGCTCCCAAATCTCTTTCAAAGGCTGTGTGTGAGTTCTGTGGCTTGTACAGGGTAGATTTTTTCCATCCTGTTCAGCCTTTCCTATGCCTCCCTGCACCTTAGTTTGAAGCTTACTCAAGAATTGGAATCTCATTTGCATTCTGGTCTAAGTGAGGCAGATCTGGGGAGATACATTTGCTTCCCCTTCAAAAGCAAATTCAGTAAATCTAAATTTTTTCCATATGAAAGACATGGAAATCAGCATTTTTTTAAATATCACTGACCAACTACAATTATCAGCCCATGGTGCTGGGCTTGGCTGTTTGAACTGAAAGGAGTTAGTTGCTTCCAAACAAATGAAATTAGAATTATTAGAATATGACCCCTTAGCCTTTTAAAAGAAAGGATTGTTTGAATTTTTCAGCATGCAGATATATCACCTACTAAAGTCTCCATGAAAATCTTTATAAAGAGGGAATTAAAAGCGATGGCACCATGACATAGCAAGTTAAGCCTCCATCTATGGTGCCAACATTCCATATGAGTGCTGGTTTGAGTCCTGGCTGTGCCACTTCCATCCCAGCTCTCTGCTCATGGCCTGGGAAGGCAGTGGTGGGATGGCCTCAGTGCTTGGGCCCCTGTACCCGCAAGGGGGACCTGGAGGAAGCCCCTGGATTCAGACTGGCTCAGCTCCAGCTGTTGTGGCAGAAACCAGCAGATGAAAGATATGTCTGTCATTTTCTGACTTAACTCTGCCTTTCAAACAATCTAAAAGACAAAAAAGAGGAAATAAAAGTCCAAAGGAAGACTTGAACATGTAAACTCCAGTCACCAGGGTGGGCATTTAGTCTAGGGGTTAAGCTTCTAGCTGCAGCCTGTAATGGAGGGCTGGCGTTGGAACTCTTCCTCTCCCAGCTACTTGCTGACCCACGGGTGACTTCAACTATTCTGTCCTTCATGGGAAGTCTAGATTGGCTTTCTGGCTCTTGGTTTCAGATTGGCCCAGTCCTGAGTACTGTGGGCATCTGGGGAGTTAAACCAGTGGAGGGAGTGAAGCTGTGGGAAGAGCTTTGGCTTTTTATGTCTTTTCTTTATTTTTTTTAAAGAAGATCTATTTATCAAATAAGTAAGTAAACAAAAAGCCCAGTTCTCCATGAAGTCGGTGTTTTACCGAGATTTTAAGCAGAAGGGCTAAGGACTCACCACTGGAGTGAATTGGCACTTTCTGCAGAAATGCTTTGGGAAGTGTTATTTAACTCACAAGGGTCAACTATTTCCTTTTAATATTTTAAGCAAAAAAGCCATTTCATGGCATGAGTTTAGAGTGAACTTAAAGTGTTATGTTTTTTAAATACTTATTTTCTACTTGAAAGGCAGAGTCTCTCTCTACGACACAAACACAAACCTTCCAAGAGCCCAAAATTCTCTCTGCGTCTTCCTCATGAGCAGCAGGGAGCCAAGCACACAAACTACCACCTGCTGCCTCCCAAGATTTACCATTGACAAGAGGAGCGGCTGGGATCCAAGCCAGCACTCCAGTACGGGATGCGAGTGTCCCATGCTGTCTGCCTTAATAGAATGTGTTTGTATTTACAGCACAGAGACAGGGCTTGCTTGGCTCAGAGGCCAGAATGACTGGACCTCACTGGCCTCCAGGCAAGAGCTCAGCACTCTGAATATCCCTGTCCGAGAAGCAGAGTGGCGCAGTGAAGAGAGGACAGAATGTGGTTGGAGTCAGGTGGGCTACTTACTATCTGTGAAAACTTGTCCCTGTTCCATAACTTCCCTGAGTTCTCAGATGAGTCGTCTCACAGTGAAATGAAGACACTGATACGCCCCAGAGTTATGTGAGGACTAAATATAACATGCCTGGCCCAGAGCAGGCATTCCATAAATGATAAGGACATTCTCTTCTGAGAGCGTTCTCTTTTAGGATCCGTAAGACCTTTTGTAGACTTGTAGAAATAAGGTCAACTGATTTTTATACTAAACCCAAACTCCAGAATATCCTAACTTTCCTGAAGATAAGTTGTAAATGTATTTTGTGTTGGGGTGGGGGGCTTTTTACATGTGAGGAAGCAGAAGCAGGAGGAAGGTCTCTTGATTAATCTCCTTAATAACAGAATCAATGAGAACTTGTATATGCAAGACACATTGTATCAGGAGACTAAGAACTCTTCAGTGTAAGCTCAGAGTGCCGCTCCTGGAAAAGACACTCAGAAAATGAAGTGCTTCCCATCTGATTGGAAGGAGTAGTTCTTAATGTAGAGATGTAATATCACAGAGAAACAGACTGTACCACTTGGTTTGGTATGCCAAAGAGGAATCTGAACCGTGAGTTAGTGGCTGTGTTTACCTGTTTAAAGCAGGCTTCCACCAGATTTGGAGGGAACATGTTCCTGCAAAGAAACGAACAATCACGTGAAAACGTTCCCATGCTGTAAGGTTGCTTTTTGAATATTGTATCATTATGACTAAGGTTGGGAGTGTATTGAATCAAGCAGCCAATGGACAAAGATTTTGCTGGATTTGATGACTTGAACACACCCCTAAGGACTAGCCAGGAGAGTGAAATTCCTTAAGGACCACCAACTCTTCTATCCTCATAGGAGCCAGTGGGAATCTTCATTCAGCCACAGCATCATTAAAACCCTGCTCAAAGGAAGAACCAAACTGGGAAGGGAAATGTCACTAGCCATCAATATTCTGGCTGAGGTGCTATTTAGCAGTGGCTATTGCCCTGAATAGTCTAAATTAAAATCATGGTCAGAACATGGTTATCCTAAAAATAAATCCTCCCAAAATCCAGGTGATGGATACTGCCACTGAATTACTGGAGCTTCTGAGGCTCCTTGGTGGCTAATGGAGAGCTGGGCCATAAAATCTGAACTGGTGAGAGCCCGAGAGGTTGTTCAAGCAGCTGCCAATGCGTCAAGGAGGGACAGAAGCACATGGTGCTCTGAGGGATCAACTAGCCTTGATATAACAGGATTCTAGCTCTCCGAACAGTAGAAATGATAGGGAAAGAAAATATAACAAAACACTCCTTCCCAATCCAGACTACTTGAGGACAAAGTCCATAAAAATCATACTGAAAAGTTTTAACCAGCTGTATGAGCTGAACGATCACATACCAGCTGAGGCTAAGTTGGTAGGAAACGTCATTCTGATGAACTAAAGAAGCCCCATGGAGTTGGCCGGTGCTTACACTCAGATGCTGCAAAGTTACCCATGGGTAGACTGAGACATGTTTCCCTAGGAGATTTTGTGTCCCCTAACTCTCTCCTGAATCTACCTGCCACAGAACAATTCCTTGGTTGGCTTGTGAACCCAATGCTTTAGAGGAGTGATTTTCCGATGTTCAGTGGGGAACCCCTTAGAGTCAGCGTTGGTGACTGACACAGCAATCACTTCGCTGGGAAGAGGGAAAGATGGGAATAAGGGAGGCAACTTTGGGAGGACAGGCTGGCTGGGGCTACACAGTGGGTGAATGCTAAACAGGTGGCGATCTGGAGGCCTGTGCTGGGACATCTTCCACTTTCCTTTCTCGACTCATCCTTCGTTCTACTCTGTACGTCCTGGGAAGCTGAGCCCTGTGGAGTGCAGCCTGTGGCTTCTGTTGCCTTCTGGCTTCTCATCGAGATTGACCGAGTGGCCTGTACCAGTAGATCACAGGCTGGAGGGAGACTAATTCCATGTGTATATTTTCCTGGCTCGCTCTTTGACATGAAGCAGCAGTTCCTCTCCTCCAGTTAACGATGTAGCTCCCACTCTGAGCCCCTCTCCCTTAGCCACAGCTCTTCCGGGTTCTAGCAACAGCCACCACCTTTTGCCTCTTCACAGCTCGGGGTGGCAATAAAACAGCTTTCCACTGTGCTGGTTCTCTGGTGCCTCATTATCCACATAACTTGCCTGAGCCTCGCCCCCTGCCCCCATGCCTTTGCACACTTTCTCCAGCGTCTGAGTGTCTTATGAGACCTGAGTGACACAAGAGCAGGTATAGAGACAGCAAGTGGGGATATCACACTTTGACTTACTTCACAGTTCTATATTAAACCTACTGTATCTAGGTCTACCCCAAGCATTACTTAAGATTCATTTGTAATAGGGTTATATTTTGTTCAAACAACAATGCTGAAACCAGACTGGAATCTTAATCTGTCAATTCCTTTCTTCATAGCACAAGAGGAAAACCTTGGGACAAATATGACCAAATCATCTCCAATGTTCCTTCTGGAACTTCATGGATGTGCGTAATGGATGATGATAGGGATCATGAGTTTTCATCAGGAGACTTCATGACCAGACCACACTTGAATAAAAAGCTGGATTAAGAAGCAGTCATTTTTCAAGGTGGATGTCAGAACAGAGAACTCAGTGACCAGATTCTGACTCTTAAAAGCAGCACTCTCTCCTCTCATTTTATGAGACCAGCAAACATATCCTTCCTTTAGCTTCTGCTAGAAAGCAGAAAAAATGTGCCCTTCCTTTAGGCCTGGCAAGGCCAGCTGAGTCAGATACCTCTTCCAAGGGTCCAAAAGAGAGGAGATGGCAGTCAAAATGTACTCCAGGGACGGGCTTGCGAGGACCTACCTGATCAAGTCCAGGAAGGCATCTGCAGCTGTCACTTGTACAATTTTGCCTTCTCTGTGCATGTTTTCCTTTGTGCCCTTCCCAGGATGGATGATGATGACAATGATTATGCCAATCACCACGGCAATGATGGTGGTAGTCATGTAATAGACTACAGCTCGCATTCCCATCTTTCCTGATGCCTTACTATCTAGGGCCGCCATTCCTGGGGAAGGCAAACAGAAGATTTTCAGGTAATCAGTTCCAGGGAATTCTACAGTGGAAGTCAGTGGGAGCAGCATTTCCTTCCATAGTCCCCCTACCCTCATCCCACTTGGCAAAGGGATTTTTTAAAATATATATACATCTTGGAATTTGGCCCCAAACTTACAAAGCATCATAAATGGTGAAGAGGAAAAGCTATAGAATAGCTAGAAATCAACCGCATCAGCAAATACACATCAACTGGTTTTATTTGTGGTGATTTTTTTTTTTCCTCCCAGGGGTTGATTTCACACACAAAAATCTGCTCTCTGATGATTTCAAAGTATAAATGATTTCCTAGTTAACTGTTAGCTGGGGAAAACTGAGTGTGAGTAGTGAGTATATGTTGTGAATATAAGGAGAAGTACTGTAAGAATGTTCTGGCAAGTTAATGCAAGCACTGGGGATTCACACAGATGAACACATTCAATTCTTTCAAAAGAAATGTTTATGCATGTATTTTGGAATTATATTTTTCCAATGTATAATTTAAGCTATCATTCTGATCACCTGTTTTCAGTTAGCACTGAAGTAGACATTGGGATAAAAGGTCAAAGTTCACAAGCATTTCCTCTGTTCCATTTATCTCACAATCACAACTTAAAAATATATACATTTTGGTGGATTTTTGAAAAACTGCACAGCCTTTCTCTGCTATCCAAGCAGGTGTATAACACCTGAGTGTGTCTTGATCTGCAGGACACCCTCAAGGCCCACCTCTGGCCAGGTGCTATCCTAAGTTTAAGAAGGTGCCATGACTTTCAGATGGAGGATCTGTCTCTCCCTCTCTATAACTCTGTGTTCCAAATCAATATTTTAAAGAATATGAAGAGCTCAAAAGATTAAATTAGTTGTTTCCCCACTTCCTTCTTCATTCTCCCCAATGGACTAGATTATTGGAACGAGATAACATAATCCAATTACACTTTATTGTTTAACATGTATTCAAAGAGTATGTTTTGATCCTATCAATGAGGAGTCTCAGATTCTTATGTCTTAATATTTAGGTAATGACTTTACATTAACTTATACAGGTTATTTAAAAATATATACAAAAAAATGTGATCACCACATGGTTGGGTTTGCTTAATTAAATTAGGTGTGAATTGAAACGACATCAACTCATCATTTCATTTGCATTTGAATATAATTTTCATGATATGCAATTATTTTTAATTACAAACTACAAAGCAAATTTAAAAACAAGTAACTAAAGTTTTTGATAACAGCAAGTAGAATAGAGGGGAAATTAAAATCTGGATTGTATACAATTAAGTTTAGGGAAAGTTTGCCCTCTGAGAATGCCAGCTGCAGCTTCTATAAATGAAGAGGTTAACTTTGGCATTGGGATTCAGTGTGTGAACTTCTTACTCCTGCTCGTTTTCAGGAAACCCAACCTCTGTTCATTAAAATGGTACCACTCAACCACATTATAAATGGACTAATCTACCCTAGAGTATCCTATCCTCCCCTTCCACTCTCAGGTCTGACTCACCTCTCAAAATATCTTGGCTTTTCTATGCTCAAAACAATCTATTGGAAGGGGCTCACTCGCCCATAATTGCCTGAATTTTGTCACCCCCAAAGGCTGTCATTCTCCCAGCTCTTTTCCCTGCCAGCCTGGGGAGCAGGATAAGCACAATGGGCTGGGATAGCCTTGCGAGCAGGGGCAAACAGCAGAGTTTTCTTCCTCTTTCTATTCTGTTCCCATGCAGCTCTCTTCTGAGCTGCAGCCCACCATTCCTGGCTACAGTGAGTCAAAAGGAAAGCCAAATGGGTGAGGACAGCACGCTGGAAACCAAATCCACAAAGAATGAGGCTTCAACTTCCTCCCTCCCCCATGGCAAACTGCTAATGCAGTACTCATTTTAGGCCTGTCAACTTTTAAGAAATGAAGCTTGTAGCTTGTTTAATTAGAAAAATCAATGAAAAACTTTTGCCATACTCCCTAATTCTGAATCTGTGAATGCCATCCATCAAGGCATTTTTGGGGGCAGTAAGCACAGTCAGAATCAACAGTCAACACAAGGTCATTTTCCCTCGAAAAGATCATGGATTTTCCATGCTGGTCCTTCCCCCGAGGAGGTCTGCAGCCTTCCTTGCCCACCTCTGCTTCTGGTACCCATGCTTGTAAAAGTGAGGAGATCACCAGGAGCAAGGCCATGCAGGTGGCAGGGCAAGAGCAGCAGAGGTGTCCAACCTGTTACACAGTGGCCTTAGCACTGCTGGGAAACCAGGTGGGAACTCTGGGAGACAAAACCCCAGGGGAGCAGGATGCCATTCATCCTGTGCCTCAGCTGAACTCTGACCACCCACTCCCCCTGGCGCCATGAAATACGAGACTCTCTTCATCCTGAAGCTAAACACAGAGCATGGCTAGGGACAAGGGCAAAGTCTTAAATCACTTTGTCGAAATGGGAACTTTGGCAGGAACATCCTAAAGGCTAGAGAAGGAGGAAAGTCCACTTAGCCTCCTCACTTGAACAAACGCGACGAAAGGGAACTGGGGCAGTGGGAAGGTGGGAAGCCATCCGGGTATGTGAATACTGGTGGGAGTGTTACAACAGCCATGCATTCATCTCAGTCCATGGTTGAGAAGCATTCCAGAGCTGGTCCTGCAGATAATGATCTGAACTGGTCTCTTTGTCCTCATCTGGTCTGGAATTAGCTAAACTAGCTCCTTTTGAGACACGCTGACATCTTTATTATGAAGTTAATCTGCCATCAGAATCAAGTCACTCTTAAAGGAACCCTGGGACACTGCTCCAGGGGCTAAGATGGCTCTTCCAGTAAGGAAGACATTGATATTTTGGGGGTTAACTTTTATGCTGGTCCACTGACTCACCAAGTGCCACCTCTGACCGATGGTACATGCTTATTTAATTTCAGGACAGCTGGGTAATGCGAATGTTGCCAACACTATTTTATGGGTGAAGAAAGAACAGGTCAGAGAAGGTAACCGATTTGCCCAGGATTGCATAGTAAGTTCAAATGAATGAAGTAGGGAGGGCCATGGAGACCTCCTGGCTGAGCACTTGGACTTGACTTTCTGAAAAGCTATCCATTAGTAACCTGTCATCGAGCAAGCAATGATTTCTGTATAACTTCTTCATGTTTACCAACGAGTTCAGCACTGACAGTACATGGAATGAGGCACTTTATGGAATGGACATTAAAACTTTGCTTCAGACACCTGGAAGTTTTAAGCAAGCAGCATGCACTTGGGGAAGAAAGTGGAAAAGGGTAATTCTTGACACAAATAGACAATGACCTCTTTATTTATGAAGACAATCATTTGCTAATCAGTTTCATGCACCAAATAAGTGATTTTTTTCTTGAGGAGCAGGAGAAAATATTTCATAAATATGTATGTGGAACTCTAAGTCTGTATTATAAATTAGGTTTCTTTGAGTGTAACACTTGGTAAGATTACTTGGAAAAAAGAAATATATATTCAGCCAAGTATTGAAGACTAACACAAACAATGCCAGTTTCCAAGGGTCCGTCATTTGCTTGGATTTTAGTCTCCCACCTGCTGAAAACCTCTGTCTTTTACATTAACCTAGCATCGTATCCCACTCCTCATCGGCTTCCTCTCCTCCATCCTCCATCACGCCTCCTGGTTTTGAAATGTGGACTCTAAAGAAGCCTTCTGTTTCAAATTGTCATTCTGCTGCTTTCGCAGGATGCTTCCTTGCTCTTCCTGGGACCAGGAAGGACAGTGGGGGTGATGGCGACTGCTGCACCTAGGTTTTAATTGTATTGTGGAAGTGCTGCTCCTCTGCAAAGCACTTCTCCAAAACCCGTCTAATGAAAGCCGCCTGTTTGCAGCTTCAAGACGGGCACGTTTACCACAAGGAAATCAAGGATGGGGTCACGGTGTACCGTATTCATGAGAATACAAGGAGCTGGAGTTTTAAAAGGAAATGTGAAACTCTACCACTACATTTCATACTACAGGTGGAAAATGGGCTTCCCTGTGCCAAGTGGCTGCTCACTGCTGCCACATGTAGGACCCTAACGGAGGAAGTGAGGGAGGGGAACCAAAAGCAGTGAAGGGATGAAGTAGGACCACTCAGCAACTACCCTCAAATCTGTGTCTAAGGCCATGTGAAGCTTTCCTGCCCTCTAACACTTGGATCCTTTATAGATTGTTTAAAAAGTTCTAGGGCCTGGCACGATAGCCTAGTAGCTAAAGTCCTCGCTTTGAACGCGGTGGGATCCCATATGGGCACCAGATTGTATCCTGTCAGTGCCACTTCCGATCCAGCTCTCTGCTTGTGGCCTGGGAAAGCAGTCAAGGACAGCCCAAAGCCCTGGGACCCTGCACCCACATGGGAGACCCAAGAAGCGCCTGGCTTCTGGCTGTGGATTGGCTCAGTTCAGGCCATTGCAGTTGCTTGAGGAGTGAATCAACAGATGGAAGATCTTCCCCTTTATCTCTCCTCCTCTCTGTATATCTGGCTTTTAATACTAAAAATAAAATAAATCTTTAAAAAAATGTTTTATGAGTCTATGGGATCTAGAATTGAAGGCAAAGAGTGCTTAGATTTCATTTTTGCTTGGGGTACTATGTGCCCTTGGTTTTCTCATCTAAAATATTAATCTGAAAGATATTAATCATTTACCTTGCAAAATCAGAGAAATCACCAACCATCAATGTCATTGATAAATGACATTATCACTCCCTTTCCTAGAATTTTAGTGCCAAGAGACCAGAGTAATAAGTTTCATTGATTCCTGTACCCTCAGAGCCTGGAACATGGGAGGTACTCAATGATTATTTGCTAATTCATCAGTCTTATTATTGCTTCTATTGTTCAGCATAGAATCACTCTATGAATTTCAGGCACTAAAGGTACATTTGTTGGCCCAGCGCAGTGGTCTAATAGTTAAAGTCCTTGCCTTGAATGCACTGGGATCCCATATGGGAGCCGGTTCTAATCCTGGCAACCCCACTTT